CACTAAAGGGGAATTCCACCCACTTCCCAAGAACTGAAAGTGAAATGGTTCAGATTTCTTTACAGTGGTGGTGATTGGAACCAGGGGTCGCCATGACTACAACACAAATATAGACATTTTATTTACTATCCAAAACCACCAGTGAACCTACACGTGTCTTCTGAGTTTTATATGGAATGTTAATGATGGAAAATAGCGGAAAATCTGAAATCAGAAGTTTTCTTTGGGGACTGTTCTGCCTCACAACACCCTGCATATCATGTATCCTCCCACCTTGAATGGAGTTTAAGTTCTCAAAACTATCATAAAACAGTGTCTCAGACATCAGGCAGTGAATTTATAACCATTTCATGTAACAACTTCCTGTGAAGGAGCTTTTAGAGGTGGACGTCTGGTTTCTGTTCACCACTCCAGAACGGAGTGTTTCACACTGAACCACTCTGTTTACATCTTAACCATTTAATTATGCAGGAATTTAGAAATATTGGAGGAATTCCCCTTTAAAGTGATAGCTCAAACCAGACTTTTCCCACTAACCCCAAACGTCAGCATGTTTGGTGTCTGAAGTTTGTTTCTGTAGTTTTAGCACATGAGCTATGAGGCTATGTAGCTAAAAGTAATGTAAGCTTATACCCACCAATTAGTACAGAACTACCAGTCTATGTTTATAGATAACAGTGTCAGAAACCACATAATCAAGTCACTCTCTCTGTAACAGTGAGGCAGTGCTCCGAAGCTTTAGAAATAACAGCAGGACCATCTACAACACACACACTCACACACACCTAGCGCTCACTCTTATCAGCCTGCTGCATATGCTCCTCACACACACACACACACACACACACACACACACACACACATGCACAGTGGTACTCCAGCTAAGAGAGAGGTATAAGAGCACTCAGAGAAACTAAAAATATTCCTCCTCCCCCTCAGGTGCTCTAATATCACACACACACACACACACACACACACACACACACACACACACATACACACACTGCCCTTAACATTTAAACACTCCAGCATTCCTACAGCTCTTTTACCTACACACACATGCACACACACTCACACTCAAGTAGAACTGGGTATCATTCAAAATTCACACTAACTGGCCACTTTATTGGAAATACCTACCTTGTACTTCTACTAACTGGCCACTTTATTGGAAACACACACCTTGTGTTTCCACTAATGGGCCACTTTATCGGAAACACCCACCTTGGGCTTCCACTGACCGGCCACTTGATCGGAAACACCCACCTTGTGCTTCTACTAACTGGCCACTTTATTGGAAACACCCACCTTGTGCTTTCACTTACTGGCCACTTTATTGGAAACACCCACCTTGTGCTTTCACTAACTGGCCACTTTAGTGGAAACACCCACCTTGTGCTTTCACTAACTGGCCACTTTATTGGAAACACCCACCTTGTGCTTTCACTAATTGGCCACTTTATTGGAAACACACACTATGCGCTTACATTAGCTGGCCACTTTATTGGAAACACTCACATTGTGCTTCCACTAACTGGCCACTTTATAAGAAACACCAACCTTGTGCTTCCACTAACTGGCCACTTTATTGGAAACACCCACCTCATGCTTCCACTAGCGGGCCACTTTACTGACATTGCAAAAATAGCAGAACCCTTTTTGGTGTTATATAGAACCATATACACCACATTCTCCATCAATCTGAAGAACCATTTAAAAATGCAAAGAACTCTTTAAGCATGAAATGTTTCTATATAGAACCATTTTCTTTGCTAAAGAACCCTCAAAGAACCCTAATTTTAAAGAGTGTGTGATATCTAAAAGCTTTAGCAAACGTGGAAGTTGATGCCCATGCTGTGCAGCTCTAGTCTGGGGTGTGAACAGTCTCGGTGTGTCTGTGTAGTAAATGTGTGTTTGTGGTGTAAATGACGTTTAGGTGAGGAGTGTAAGCGGCGAATCTGGAGAGAAAAACACGCGGCGGCAGCCGCAGCAGCGAAATTAATAAGCAGAACAGCTGCATTAGATATGACAGCAACAATTTCATACAACACTTACTGTCGGCTGCCAGCGACTCGCAATACCAGCGCGGAGGAAAGAGAGACATTATTTTTTCAATAGCGCAGGCAGATTCATTTTAAAATTTGCTTTTAATAATTAATAGTGAAGCTTTCAGGGGGTTTTCACCTGGAAACAGAGACGAGCTCGCTCAGAGAGAGAGGGAGAGGTAGAGAGAGAGAGAGAGAGAGTACACACAGCTGATTCCTTTAACTGGAATGAATGGAACTATTTCCCCACTGAAGGAAGAACCGAACCTCTAACACATTCATTTATCTTCACTGCGCTCCTAAAGGACTTCTCTGGACAACAACAGCAGCTTCCCAGCAGGATCATGACAGCAGAGGGTCAAAGTGAGATGGACAGAATCCCTTCCTTCATGAGACAGTTTGTCTTTGAACTCAGGCTAAATTGAGTTATGGAATAACTAAAATTTGGGGGTAACGTGCCTGAAACCCCTCCATCAGCCAATCAGGGGGCTGGCCTTCTACCTACAGGCAGGAGCTGCCCAGAATTCTCCCCCTCCTTTGATCAGTCTCCCCTCATACTACCACCACATGTTGAAGGCTCAGTCCAAACTCACAAATCACAATCAATCGTGCGACTTTACATAGTTAATTGTGATTAACTGCACAACTTTGGGTAGTTAATTGCGATTAATTGCATGACTCTATGTAGTTATTTGCGATTAACCGCACGGCTGTATGTAGTTATATGTGATTAATTGCGCAACTTTATGTACTCAATGGTGATCAATCACACAACTTTACGTAGTTAATTGAGATTAATTGCATGACTTTTATGTAGATAATCGTGGTTAATCACACAACTTAATGTAGTTATTGTGATAAATCGCATGACTTTATGTAGTTAATCCCGATTAACTGCACGACTTTATGCAGTTAATCGTGATTAATTGTGAAACTTTATGTAGTTAATTACAATTTATTGCACAACTTTAGGTAGTCAATCGTGCTTAATCACACAACTTTATGTAGTTAATCGCAATTAATCGCACGACTTTATGTAGTTAATCGTGATCAATCACAACTTTATGCAGCTGATCACGATTAATCACACTAGTCTGCGGATTGTTGGGTCAGTCGGAGGAGAGAGAATTGAGTAGTGCGTGATCTTTGGTCTCTTGATCGCGTTTCAGGCCAGTCGGAGTTTATCAAACTTTTGATTTTTTCCGACTCAACTCTGAATGTAATCTAGTGTAAACTGATCAGAGACACAATCTGAATGGACTCTTGCAACAGCCAATGGAAACTGAGAACACACAAGAAAAAAATACACAAATAAACAAAGAAAAATGCCGAAGAATCTCTCACTTGTGGAGCAAACCTGTTTAATGACCTGAGTTTAAGGCACAATCGAGTTTATGTATGTTTAAAACTCCACATTGATCACATTTTAAATCTGAGCCTCACTCAAACATGTTTACCTGCTGCTTCTTTACTGTGTCAGCGTAAACGGCAGAGAAAACAGCAGCAGCTTTGAGCTGCTCCGTGTTGGTTCATTTGCGTCTCCTAGTAACGGGAGTTCATGCAAGTTCAGTGAGTTCAGTTCAGTTCAGCAACAAAGTTGAGTAGTGTGTGATCCCTAATCATTTAGTGTGTGATCCCCAATATTTCAGTCGCCCAAGTAAATCTGCAGAAACCAATCTGATGGTGTGAAATACCCAGTCTTTTATAATCTGTTAGGACGTTAAAAGTCATGAAGCGACCCCAAGGCTTTACTGGAAGTTAACACGTCCAGTGTTTTCCTCCGAACACTGTCGAGTGTAGTCTGTCCCGTATTAGCAGGGCTAACGCTGTTGGTGTTATGCTACGTTCACAAGTTTGCATTGAAAAAAAGTCATTCTTCACCACGGTGGGCGGTTGACTATGGCAGGAAGTTATGCAGACATTGGCATGGTGATCATGGTGCCAGCGAATATGGCTGATTATCAGAATAGAGCTTTCTCAGTGCAGAGTGTTTATTTAGGTGGAGAAAGGCAGGGGGCGCTCTGCACTCGCTTATTTGTGTTTTGAATTTCTGCTGTGGCTCTAAGGAAATGTAGCAAGACCTATGCCTCCCTGGGCTCAGGAAGGAAGCTAAACTGGCCACCTTTCAGTGGCTTCAGAACTGGACTTTTCAGTTCTTTTCTCCCAACTAAGCTTTTCAGCTCTTCAGTCTTTTCTTCTGTTGCTCGTCCCTCTCTCTCTCTCTGTTCCCTCTCTGCTATTTTTAAAGGCGTTCATGCCTGAGCACCTGAGCCGAGAGGGAAAGAGAGCTTGTTGCTCCACCTCTCCGTTACTGAACTCGCTTTGACCCGGGCGGCCAAGTTGCGGGATCGGAGGCAGCAGCCAGGAGGCGGGGCTCTGGACTCGTGCCCTATCCCCCACTTGCTTGCGGTTCTCCTATCCCCACCAGCCTTGCCCGGCTTCGTCCTCGCTCGGCTTCGTCCTGGCCGTCATTGGGGCCCGGGAGGCGGGCGCATGCCATAGAAAACAACAGAATATCTGGTTTGCTCTCGTCTCTATTGCAAACATGTGATAGCAGCGTCAGATGTGTGCTTGGCTTGCATGTGATATCACAGGCTGGATGTTCTCCGATGATTACTAAACTCTGGCAGTAACTACACACAGCCTTGGTTTTGTCAAGCTGCCTGGTAGAGTTTTGATATGGAGCTTCCTGCTAAAGATGCCTTTCTCCATCATTCACCGATTCAGAAAGTACAACTTCTAATCTAGTCTGATTCACATGAAGGCTGCCGAACTACGGGTCACTCATAGGGTCAAAAAGAACCTGCGTTAACGGCATTCATTTTTTAAACTGCGTTAAAGTGAGATGCATTAATGCATCATTATTGCGTTAACTTCGGCAGCCCTACTTTTAACCCTTTCCAAAAACAGCTGCATCACTGCTGTCCTGGCGGACTGCAGTGGAAAGTACGGTACCTTCCAGGCGATGCGGTTGCCCTTGGTGTCGTGCTCCAGAGCGATGGGGAAGTCTCCGCGCTCGTAGAACTTGCGGAAGGCCGTGGGTTTGGATGGACGCTCTCTGAAGGCTCCTGCAGCAGGAGGACCCACCACCTGTTCAAAAGAGGGAGTTATAGTGAATTATCTCCTCAGCCTGCAGGACAGCAGCGTTACAGCCAAAGTCCTTATAGGAAAGTCTGTTCACTCAGCGGCCATCTTGGTAACACCACCAGGCAGTTATTTCCAGGCATACAACAGCAGACTCCCTTTCTCTGGAAGGAGAGAGACCAAAATACTCCAAAGGTCAGATGACCGTTTTAAAAACATATTTGAAATCACTGATAAAATCAGACAAAATCATCATAAATAGTTGTTTGTAATGTTTAGCTCAGGTTGCTCTGGCTGCTGCGCTCGAGCGGATCTCTGGCTCTTTTCGTTGAAGGGCGGGACTTTCTCCGTAAACATATACCATGTTGGGTGTTAAGAGGTTTCCCATTCATATTCCAACAAGTGACCATCTCACCATCCTTTATAACATCTCTATTACATCTCACTCCTACTCTATAACACATTCAGTGTTGTGTTCAGTGTTTTGTTTTCAGAGCTAGACATTACTCTTCTGCCTCTCTATCTCTCTTATTCCCTCTTTTTCCTCTCTTTCCCTCTCTTCTTCCTCTCTCCCTCGCTCTCTTTCTGTCTCCCTCTATCTCCTTCCTCTCTCTTCCCCCTCTATTTCCTCTGTGTCTGTTCTTTTCTTTCTCTTCTCTGTCTATCTTTCTGTCTTTTGCTCTCTCTCTCCTTAATCTCTATCTTTTTCTTTCCTCTCTCCTTCCCTCTTCTGTCTCTCTCTCTCCCTGCCTCTCCTTCCTCTCTCCCCTTTCTTCCTCTCTCTGTATTCTTTTCTCTTGGTCTTTTCTCTCTCCCTCTCTATCTCTATTTTGTCTCTCTCTTTCCTCTCTCTCTCTTCCTTCCTCTCTATCTTTTTCTCTCTCTTCTGTCTCTCATTTCTCTTTTCTTCCTCTATCTTTCTCTTTTCCTCTCTCCTTCCTCGCTCTTTCTCTCTTCCTTCCTCTTTCTGTCTTTTTCACTCTTGCTTTTTTCTCTCCCCCTCTCTCCTTCCTCTCTATTTTATCCTTCTCCTTCCTTTCTATCTGTATTTTCTCTCTCTCCTTAATCTCGATCTCTCTTTCTCCCTCTCTGTCGTTCCTCTCTCTCTCTCTCTGTCTATTACCAAAACGCACAGCCACTGAAAGTCTGTGTGTGTGTGTGCGTGTGTGCGTGTGTGTGTGTGTGGTTGAGGTTTCTCTGATAAGGTCAGGCTGCACATCACCAGAAGCAACCCAATTACCTTCCTCACACACTCCCAAACACACACACACACACACGCATAAACATGTATGCACGCGTATATACAGCTGTGTATGAAAGTCAGAGAGCGCCCTCTACAGGATCTGCAGGGATGTTTCTCCACACCTCCAAAGTTCAGTCTTAGAAGTTGGTTGACTTCTTTTCATGAAAACATTTTGAAACACTCTGTTTTAAATATACAGATTGTAGGGTTTAAATCGATGTTGGTGACTGTGATGGTGTGGCATAGTAATGACTATGGTTACCGATATTGATGGATGGTGGTGGTGATGGCTGATGGCAATTGTGAAGGTGGTGATGGTTGATGGCAATTGTGATGGTTGGTAATGGAAATAATGCTGATGGTTGGTGATGGTGATTGTAATGGTTGCTGATGGTGATTGTGCTGATGGTTAGTCATGGTGATGATGGTTTTGATGACAGTGGTGGTGATGGTGGGGGATGACAGTGGTAGTGATAGTCATAGTGATGACTGGTGATGCTGGACGCTGTGGTAATGGTTGGTGATGGTGATTGTGATGGTGTGGTATAGTGATGGTAATGTCAAAGGTCTTGGTGATGGTGTGGTGTAGTGATGGTAATGTCAAAGGTGTTGATTGTGATGGTGTGGTGTAGTAATGGTAATGTAAAAATGTGTTGATTGTGATGGTGTGGTGTAGTGATGGTAACGTCAAAGGTGTTGATTGTGAGGGTTGGTGTAGTGATGATAATGTTAAAGGTGTTGATGGTGATGGTTGTGGTTGAGTGTGATGGATGTGATAGTTGAGGGTAATAGCTGATGATGCTGATATTGGTGATAACTTGTGATGATTGATCGTGATAGTGGTGATGGTTTGTGATTGTTAATGGTGATAATGGCGATGGTTTGTGATGGTGATGCTAGATGGTGATAGTAGTGAGGGTTAGTGATGTGATAGTTAATGGTGATAGTGGTGATGGTTTGCAATGGTTATGGTTAATGGTGATAGTGGTGATGGTTTGCGATGGTGATGGCTGATGATGGTGATAGTGGTGATGGTTAGTGATGGTTCATGGTGATAGTGGTGATGGTGAGTGATGGTTGCTGATGGTGAGAGCGGTAATGGTTTGTGATGTGATAGTTTATAATGGTGATAGTGGTGATGGTTTGTGATGTGATGGTTGATAATGGTGATAGTGGTGATGGTTAGTGATGTGATGGTTGATGGTGATAGTGATGATGGTTAGTGATGGTGATGGTTGATGGTGATAGTAGTGATGGTTAGTGATTTGATGGTTAATGGTGATAGTGGTGATGGTTTGCGATGGTGGTAGTGGTGATGGTCTGGGATGGTTATGGCTGATGATGGTTGGTGATGGTGATAGTGGTGATGGCTGATGATGGTTGATGATGGTGATAGTGGTGATGGTTAGTGATGGTTGTGATAGTGGTGATGGTTTGTGATGGTGATGGTTGATGGTGATAGTGGTGATGGTTTGTGATGGTGATGGTTAATGATAGTGGTGATGGTTTGCAATGGTGATTGTTGATGGTTTGTGATGGTGATGGTTGATGATTGTAACACTGATGGGGTGAGAGCTTTCAGGCTCTGTAAACTCACTAAAAAGTAGAGTTACTGACAGTGTTCTAGCACACATACACGTTCTCTTAGGAACCCAGATGTGCAGGCAGCTGCCTGATGGAACCGAAAGGGATGCTCAGGCTCTCCTGTGAGGAAGGAGGCTGTTGTGGATGAAAACTGGCTAAAAACTGAACAGCCTTAAGAGCTTTTCAGACCAATAAACTCATTCAAACGAATGTCCTTCCTGATGACAGTAATTTCTCAGAAGGTGAAAATGTGACATTCTCGTATTTTGCTCCATTTTTGTTAAATTTTACAGGCGACATGAACTCACTCGACCTACTGCTGTTGTCTTGGCAACAACCTCTAAGGGCCCGTATCCTAGTGTTTTTTCCCCCTGAGGTCCTCTTATGAGGTCTTATGTACCAAAAACATTATTCATTTCTACATGACCATTTTATGATAAATGTAAATGAGCTCTGTTCTGATTGGCTGCCTTGAGTTGTTCCTGGTTCAAAAAACAGTCCGAGTTGAAACACTTCTTATAACTGTATGGGAGGGGCTAAACTGCTGTAGACTGAATAGGTAGATATACATACATTATGGTACACTTTGAAACCTGAACAGATTACATAATACTTAAAACCCTTTAATTAAAAATTATGGTTAATTTTCCATCATATGGGCCCTTTAAAGACCTTCAGTGTGCTACATTCATTGTGGGGAAGTTTAGTTTATGGTTCATTTCGTGATTTAGTCTCTTCTGTGTGTTACTGTGTGTGTAGAGAAGAATAACACACACACACACACACACACACACACACACACAGCCCTCATCAGCAGTGAAATTACAGGCAAAAAGGTCAAATGTGTGCGCCCCCCGCAGGGATAATGCTTTAAATCAGGGAGCCGCTCTGGATTAGGAACAGAGTGAGCCCACGCTAAATCAAATCACACCGTTCTCCCCCTGACACCTCACTCTACCCCACTACACCACACCGGGCGAGAGACAGAGAGAGAGAGTAGAGAGAGAGAGAGCAGTGGGGGGTAAATGCAGACAGGGGAGTTGAGTGTGTGCAGCAGAGACACCCCCTGCTATCAAATGATTTATACACACTATAGCAGACTGTGACACGTGTGTGTGTGTGTGTGTTTGAGTCATCTGTTTCTCTTGGAGCTTGTTTAGCTCTTCTCCCTCCTCCTCACCCGTCTCTGCTGCACTGCTGTGCAAACACAATGACAAAACTCTCCGCACTGTTCTGTCTTTTAGTCCAGCCCATGCGGTCGGCCTGTGGTCGACCTGCGGTCACCCTCATGTAAATTTTGTACCTTACAAGGCGTCTGAACTTTGTGCAAAAAGGGCCTGAGGGCCGAAATAAGATTCACAAATGATTCAAAATATAGGGTGTACCAATAAGTACCAACAAGGATTAAGCTTAAACTTGAATTAAAGCAAAGTTTCTGTTAATCGTGTTGCACCAAACATTAAACCTAATTTAAAAATAATCAGGGTTACATTTAAACCATCATTGTAATCCTGGATTACTTTTCCAGTAAATTAAAATGAATCCTGTTGCACCATTACTTTAAACTTGGTTTAAATTTACGAAATGTGTTTAACCCTCTCAGGTGGACGATATCGTATGCAACATTAAAGGATGTCATACATAAAAGAACAAATCTTGAGAACACTGCTTGCGGCAGGTTAGCATTAGCCATGTTTACATGCAGCCCGATAATCCGTTAATAATCTGATTAATAGCTCAATCGGAATTGAATATGTCCATGTAAACACCTCAGTGTAACGTTTGAGGCATGGAGGCGGGATGCAAATGCGAGTTTTTATTGAAATGAGAGTCCATAAAAAAACAAACAAACAAACCAAACCACAAGCACGACAAGCAAACAAGAGACAAGATTACATTCACAATGCAAGACGAAGACTGAACAAACACAGGGGTATAAATACACAGAGGGGAAATGAGACACACCTGGGACTAATGAGGGGCGGAGCTACAAGCAGGTGGAACAGATAACAAGGGGGCAGGACCAGGGAGGAGACACAGAGCAACAACAAAAGCACATGGTACAAGAAAACAAAAGACACATGGCTACAACAGAGGGGAAGAAACAGACACTCAGAGGGAGAAAAGAAGGAATCCGTGACACTCAGATGGAATAGACTAGTCCGACTGAGACCATTCA